CATGAGTCGTAGCGATGCCGTCAGCGTTCCTCTTTTAACAACGTCTGCGTTGTACTGCGCCTTAGCAATTCCTCGTGGCAATATATAAAACGTTAAGAGAGGACACTTCCATGCATAGCCCCTGCGGCTGATCTGGGTTCGCAGAGCTAAAAACGGTCGTTAAGAACCATCGCAGCCTCAGAGATGGAAGACTGCAGAAAAGGACGTCTCGAAGGCTATTTTCTAGCAATTAGAAATACTGTACAGTCTCCAAGACCACTTCTACGTGCGTGCTCGTCTCTGAGGCCATACTTTTTTTTTGTCACGCATCGTTTGCATGCATTGATTATTTTGGTGTCAGCTGTACCACCAGAGCGCAAGCACACTATGCCACTGTGTGTCTATGCACACATTCTAAATGAAACATGATAATAGTTGAAGTGAAAACATTTAGCTTCAAGTGATATTCTTGGTAAGCACATTTCACCTTGGAAATATTTAATGAACTTGGGCACGAAGAGATAAGTTCACTGCATTGCAAGACACAAAAATACAGCTGTCATATCATGAGTACAGATTACAAACAAGAAATAAACTTAAAGGCCTCATTATAACAAGACCCACAAAACAGTAAAACTGCAATAAATGCACACAACTGCATATACAGTGCACAACGCAACACTGCAGTAGTTGCCACAGCTCTTCACTGCAGCATGAAATGAACAAAAAAATGTTGGCTACGTTTTTTTTTTTCGCCTTTGCACAAATTTTTCCTTATGCACTTCACATCGCTCTTTCGCGAAAAAGCACAAGCAGTTTCCGCAGCAAAAACAAAGCAAAACAAACAAAGCTAACAAACATATTTCTAGATTCACCACTTCTCCTTTATTGCGGTTGTTAGAGCTTTAAGCAATTTGTGAACGCCACAGGTAATGATACTACACATAACTGCACTTTTTACAAAATTTCCCTCATGCAGTGAATTCAAATACATGTATCGGCACAAGAAAAAACTAACAATGCGAACGGTGACTCACTTTGTTGAGCCAAGAAATATTTTTTCCGCGAACGTGCATGACAGTATTCCAAACAGTGATTTCTTCTTCTTTTCTTTTCTTTTTTTTTTCGTGTGACGCAATCCCCGAAAATGATACGCGAAGTGAAGAGCACAAAAAATCTCTCTGCACCGAACAGCACAATGCGAGAAATTTTAGTTCAAGGCTTCAATGACGAATGAAACACGCACTTTGCAAAGTAATGATGGCTTTCGTACTTAGCAGTAGCCAAACTGAGAGGCAGACGAAACAAGCGAAGACCACGACGCACGCCGGGCATGTTATCGCAAATCTTTTGTCACGTCTCCCTGCTGCTGTCCGTACTTCTTCATTGTCTTAAATGCTCATGAACAGGGAGCGTGACAACGTTGCCTTCGCGTCTACTACATGTGCACTTCTCTCACATCCAATTCATGACAGATCCTGTGCGACCATGTAGTACTAGCGAGGCGATAAGACATGATAAGAAAGCCACAATCGCCGTGGCAGAAACACGTAAACGCATAATGCACTAGAAAAGGTACTGTAGTAGATAACTAGTACGTGCATTTCCTTGAAAGCAGTGAGTGGTGTGTTGCCATCTTAGGGGCGGAGTGAAGCTGCGTAGCACCGCCGCTTTTGACCAGAGTGACCACTCTTAATTTTTATGTTACTCTATTATGGCCGGAAACCCTACTATAAATAAATTACGAACATTTCTTTCACGACGTCATTGGTGAGGCCACCAAATACAGGGAAAGGAAAAAAGGTTGAGAGAAGGGTTGTCACAGAAGCGCTCTTCTCCTACTACTATTCGCATTCAAGCGGAATGCTCTCATGTCTTTTTTCAGGTCCGCTGGCCGCTTGGGCGATGCGCCTATACGTAAAATTTTGTTTACCATTTTTATAATTTTGTTCGTATATTCTTAAGTGGTGAAAGTTAGGGTTACTGAGCCAAAACTTGATCGGCACAAATGAAATGAACTTATTTATTGCAAGGTTGTTTTATTTAAAAATTGGTCATATACACGTAGTTTATTGGGACCACTCTATACAAGCAGTTTACTTTACAGTTGGCATACGGGTATAATGAGCAAACAATGAACACAAAATATCCAACCCAATGCGAAAATTATCAACATAAGCGAGTAGAACACGTCGTATTTGACTCAATCACGTTTGTTATGACAGCGCGCATAGTTTTCTTGCAGAACTTCAGAGGCACGGAGAGGCTTGAAGCGATCAGAAGTTTTCAGAGAGAACGTCGCTGCAAATAGTGTTTTGGCAAGTTCACTTGTCCTCGTGAGGGCAAGAGCGTCGCCTTGACAAAAAAAGTTCACTTGCCAAAACGTTAGCTCCAGCGACATTCTGTGTAATAATTTTTAGAAGCATTTAGCTCATCACATGTACTTAAGTCACAGTTTTACAACTAAAAACTCAAACCCCAATGCATGAATTTATAGAACAGGAAGGAGCCTATAAATACTTGACACTAATTTGAACTACATGCCAAATAAAGGAAACAAAACCTATGTAGCCCAGCCAACACGAAAATAAGCCTTTCATTAAACGCATTTCTTTTTTGCAGCTGCTTGGCTGCAAACTTGACCAATTAGTCTAGCGACAATGCACTTTTTTAAGTCCAGTCAGGCTTGCAGAAAACTGCCCGTTTACTTATGTACTCATGCAAAATTAAAACACCTGCTCGAATATAGGGTCCAAATACTTGTGCTCCCCCGTTCCAACAAGGAAATCTCGAGACACTCGCGGAAGTGGACGTCCCCGGGTTCACACACCGCAGATACACAGACACAGACAAAAAAAAAGTGTTGCCCGATTGAGCAACCTTCGTCGAATGCATGGTTGACTTGCTCGGCGTGACTCACTGCGGCTTCCGTTCTCAGTGTCTTTAGCTGGTTTACGAGCGAGAGGGCGAGCGGAGAGCTGGGCGGGTTTACGAGTGAGCGGGATAGCGGAGAGGGCAGCGGAGCACGACCCGATAAGATAATTCTCTTATCGGGTCGTGCTCCACTGCCCTCTCCACTCGCCCGCTCGTTTGTAAACCCGCACAGCCCTCTAATATCTTTCCCGTAGTTGGCACGCCAACCGAGCGAGATATTCATGATGTAAGATAACTGAGCGTGATTCAATTTCCAATATCGCTGAGTGAGGGACGAGAAGGAGCGCAGGCAACCGCTACGAGCATGCATGTTCCCTGAAACCAAAACTAGTGCTGAGTTTTCGTGGCCTCACTGAGCCACTGCGCGGCCACTCAAGCAGCCTTTCAGCAAAGCGAAACACCATATTGCATTGCATTGAAGGGCTGTGCCCTCCTACTCAGGTCCAGCATAAAGAGCTTGATTTAGCCAGGAAACCACTCATACTTTGTCCGATTTCTGGGATACAGCCAACGTTTACACAGGACCTCGTCAAGAGTCACGCTACCCTATCTCTTCTATGCAATGCCACCACGAAGGAAGACGTTTCATTGAAAAACTACCAAATGAATGCTGTAGTACAACTTCTATTGCGCTGACGCCTACTGAAGCCATGTGAATAACATGTTTTGAAAGTTATGTCATGTATTGTGCATTTATTTTGCGTTACTGTTTATGTCACCATAGGATAGCACCATTGAGTAACTCTAAGGCTGATTTTTAGTTTTTTATGTTGTCATTTCTTTCTCTGCGCGTTTCCCCTGATATATGAAACCAATCTGCTCGATTAAAGTGGTTCTAAGTCAGCGCTACCTTTCAAATCTTTCTTGTCCTTGCACTCATAATACTTTATAATTGTTGTGGTTTAATGACCCAAAGCCACCACATCATTATAAAAGACGCCGTACACGATGGCTCCGGAAATTTCGACTGCCTGGGGTTCTCTAATGTGCACCTGAATCTAAGCACACGGGGGCCTCAAGCATTTCCACCTTCATGAAAAATGTGGCCGAGATCCGATCCCGCGATCTGAGGGTCAGCAGCCGAGTGCCTTTGCCACTAGACCACCATGGCAGGTTTTGTCCTTGCACTTCGTGCTATTTTTGGGTTAACTGTGATTCCGAGTGACGCCGTGGTAGAGGGCTTCGGAAAGTTTCACAATCTGTATTTTTTTTTTTTCAACGTGCATTGCCAACCTACAGCATATGGGCCATTCGTCTCTACCGAATTGCGACCACGTGACCGGAGTTGAGTCCGCATCCTTCATGTTAGCAGCCCAGCACCGTAACCACTGTACCATTGCGGTAGACGACAGCTTGTTATATGTTTTCGCATTAACTGCCCCTCGGTTATTTTTGCTAACGTTCGTTTTTTATTCTTTGTTCGACATCTCTCTCCCCTAGTGTTGAGCAGCCCTGTCGGTCACGTCCTTTGTTTTTTCCCGCATATCCCCTTTCTGTTCCCTCTCTCTCAGTTTATTGATTTAACGTATGATTGATTGATTGATTGATTGATTGATTGATTGATTGATTGGTTGATCGATCGATATGTGGAGCTTAGCTTTTAACGTCTCAAAACATCATATGATTATGAGAGACGCCATTGTGGAGGGCTCCGGTAATTCGTACCACCAGGGTTTTTTTAACGTGCACCTAAATCTGAGCACACGGGCCTACAACATTTTTGCCTCTATCGAGAATGGAGCCGCCACAGCCGGGATTCACCCCCGCAACCTGCGGGTCAACAGCCGAGTACCTTAGCCACTAGACCACCGCAACGGGGCTTAGCGTTTGAGGTAATCGCGTATAATTTACTAGTACCTAATTTCACCTTTCCTCGAGGAGCACTTGCAAAGGACATCATTTTGATGTAATCCTCAAGGTCAATGTGGTGAGTCTATGCTAAATGTTGCGTTAAGCAGGGGTTCAGTTTTCCATAAGTACGTCTATATGCATTTTTTTTTTATTTTGAAGAACGTTGACGCCCCTCAAAACGGTTTTACGGTTATCTCTTCCTTTTCTGATACTCCTCACCCCCGCTCTCCCTGAAGATCGATCATGTCGGCAAGCCGTCCTGGCAAGCGCAAATTAAGGGGAAAAAACTGTGGACGCTGAAGCCCGTTCCCGAGTGTTACTCAACATGCCACGAGCTTCAAGTAGTTGTACATCCGGGAGAAATATGTGAGTCCTCTCATTTTTGCCGTCTGTTGTTTCTTGAAAGTTTACAGCGTGCCCGGCTGAGCCCTCATTCTTGGGGAGGGGGGGGGGGGCTAACTTTAGCAGCGCTATCGTTTAGCTACGCTGCATTCTATCAAGCCGTTTTGCCAGGATAATCGAATAACCAAGTTAGCAGCTGACCAAATGGGGGCGTAAACTCCCCGGTGCAAGTAGGCCGGGAATAAAGGCCGCGTTACCATTCGCATTACTAATGCTGATCCACAATGACAGACTGTTATTAGTGTTGGGAGACAGGAGAGTGCTCAATGCGGCAAAAACGCTAGAAGTCTTGTGAGGTGTCGAGTTTTTCTAGCTACATTGTACTGCAACCGAAGCTTGCAATTCGTTGATTTTTTATAAGTGCTTCCAATAAAAAAATCACTCTTCACTACGTGAGTGTATAGTTTGTAAATTCGAAGCTATTCTTGAAACAAAAAAAAAACTGAAGGAGATGGAGACCCTGCTTCGTACAAGCCACGTAAGATGTTCGCAATGAATAAATAAATAAATAAATAAATAAATAATAAATAAAACAAAATTTGTGTCTCTGAATATTTCAACTCAGCGCTCTTAAAACAAGCATTTTTTTCGCATTGCATTTTAGTGTCAATATGGGTAAAAGAACATGTGTTTTTGTTCAGCAAGGCTGTTACATACAATGTTAAGTAGCTTCTTTTCTATTTAATCTTTCAGTTGTTGTGGACTCCAACCTGTGGTACCACAAGACGGAGATTCTCGGCAACGACCTAAGCATTGCGATCGGTTCGGAGTACGACTAATGCGATCGCCTTACTTTACTTCTTCAGTGTCGTCACGGGTAAAACAAATGACTCTAATAAAGAAAATGTGTGAGCTTGATCGGTACCCTTACGGTTAGAATTCATCCCTGCTTTTTCAAGAACATGATTTTCCTGACGAGATGACGACCTCACAAAAAATATTAACAAATGTTTGCGCATGGGTCAATATTTCTTCACAAGTGAGGGCTGAAATACGCGTAGTGACGAATATTCATAAGTAAGAAATATTGAAGTCCTAAAGATATGTGTGCTTAACAAGGGTACCCGATGTCACTGGCGCCACGCTGATACTTTTTGTAGGAGTTTTCGCTCACGGTCAAGAAGGGGTGGTGCCAAAATGTCTACCTTGGGAATGGGGAGGGACGGAGGAGTTAAGAGGGCAGCTTTGAAGGAGCGTGCCATAGAGTCAATACTTACCCCCGAATGCAGAGATGTTACTTGGCTCGCGACTTCAACTTAACTTGAGCAAGTCGGCGCGAAGCAAGCAGCGGACTTCAAAACGCCCAAGTCAGCCTTCGCGTTTCATAGATGGTCAGGCTGTCTTGCTTGGTCAAGTCAAGAACGAGCTTCAAAGCAGAAACACGCTGCTCGCCTGCTAACGAGGGTAATAATGAAGTTGTTCGCGTAAGGCATGCATTACACCAAAAAAAGACCCTACGTTTTAAAATAACTATAAAAACGAAGGGCCACAAGCATATTCTTGCCATTTTATGGCTAACGAGCGGCATGTGGTGCCTGCCACCACAGCGATGCGCAGTGTTGCTTCTGTAAAGCGTTCGTTGCCTGCTGGTTTTAGTGGCCACCCAAATGCGGTGCGTTCCTCCACAGTTGCTTGTTTGGAGGAGAAACAAGCATCGCGTTGGGTTCTTTCGTCGTTTTTTTTTTTTTTCTCAAACGAACGCCATGGCATGTATATGTGCTGACCTGGCTCACGAGGTGACGAGATTTTCACGGTATTTGCCTCTGTTCGCCTGTGTGCATGCCTGTAATGGGCTAGGTCGCACTTATTATGAAAAAAAAAAAGCAAGCTCTGGGAACAAATGTGATTCGTATCCTTTTGTTGAGCTTGGTAAACAAGAGAAAAAGCGGGGGTCCGGACATTGCCCTCAACAGAATTCTGTCTCGCGGGGTGCAGCAATGTATCGCTGCACGATGGTGACGCGCATAAAAAAACCTGTGATAGGGGCACCTCTTTTTTTGTGTGTGTAATTTTACGTAGCGTTGTGCTACAAGCGATGCCTTTCTGAGCGAGAAACAGTGCCCTAGACGGGACGACAGGATAGACGAGGCACACGGACACAGCACCGAGTCAATTTTTTTTTTACCGAAAGAGACAGAAAGTGTCGTCGTGTTATAGAAAAACAGAAATAGCCTTTGCGGTTACGGAACACTTCAGCGTTGTCGACACCGGGGCTATTAATACGTACGTGTGTGTAGTCGACACAACCTGTAACGCAAGGGAACTCAGCCACTTCATTACAGTCCGCCGGCTGCGGAAAGCGCACCAGCATCGCGTACAGGTGCTTTGCGATGAGTAGCGTAGCTTTTCCGACTGCACGGCACACTGTCGACTACGGAATGCAGACGAAATTTCCGGTGAGTGGTTGGAATGTGCCAGCGCTGTAAAACCTGAGAGCCATCAGTAGCTGTAACACTGGATGCACGGGCTGTCTTCGCTTGTCCCCACTTTCACGGAGCGGCAACATAACGAGCAGCTGCCCCACGGCATTCTTCATGAATCTGTACCTAGCGTGGAATTGTTGCTCGTCGTACAATTCCATCGGATTTCCTTGGTCACGTAAAGCGGTTCCAAGAATCTTCGGCAGGCAGTGCGCCTCAAAAAATGCTACGCTTATGGTGAGGCAAGCAAACTCAAAAGCGGCCACCTTTCACGCGACGTCCATTCGAGAGGTGGCCATGTTGGAATAACGCGTGAAGTCGCTTTCAAGCAATCCCCGCAGCTGACTTGAAACTTGTCCTGACTTCGACCGAGCCAAGTCGCCCTCAAGTCGCCCGCAAGTTCGAGAACGATTTATGGTGACCGGCAAGACTGTCTTGAGTCAAGAACGAGTCAAGTACGAGTCAAGTAACATCTCTGCATTCGGGGGTTAGCCTTTCAGAGGGTGGGCGAGGCTAAAAATCGCAGGAAATATACAGCCCCCCCCCCCTCTTGCTCATGGCGTATCCCCTGTATCATGGGCTTCCAGGATTTCTTGCATTGCCAGTACATTCGTCATCCTCAAGGCTGGAGTGCACAGGCGTACAGCAAGGAGTGGTACGTCAAATGTGTAGGGCTGAGGGCAGGGGCGATGGCAGAAATATTTTACGGGGGGGGGGGGGGGAGTTTTACTTGAAGGGGTTGCCGGGCGGGCCCGCAGATGGGGTCTAATGTTTTGAAGTCAATATTTCATGGCAGAAAAAAAAATTTTTTTGGGGGGGGGGGGGGGCGACACGTGCCTGGTATGCTACCCATTGGCTGCGCCACTGGCGATGAGAACAGTTTTCCTCTGACACTGAATCGCATACCTATCGAATATAGTGTGAGGAGCAAATCTAATCGAATTGTTTTTGAACACTGAATTTGAGTTTTTACAGTTGATATAAAGGGATGCTCACAATTCTGTATTCATAATTTTAGCATTAAAATTACTGAAGAGGCTTCAGCAACAGACAAGTCGATTATTCAGAAGTACAGAAATCTTCGTGGAGGGCGAATAACTTTCGTATAGTCAGTGAATTGTGGAACCTTAAAGGAGGCAGACTGCCGCAATACGTAAGCTTACATACGCTTCATGTTTATACTGTCAATAAAGGCTTAAATTTATTGTACTTTTGCTCAAACTTGGTGCTTCTTGGTGCAGTTCACATTTCAAAACATGATAAAACTATACAAATATTACACGTATTTATGAATAGCGGCTTCTATTCCATTAAGGGGGGAGTCAATCAGGACCACATGCGATTCAACAGAGAGGTTCTCAAGTGTTTGCAAACCTCTGCAAGGGCCCCTTTGTAACGTGTGTGCATTTTAACTTCGTCTCAATTCGTTCTTGCAGCTAAAGCAGAGCCACTACACCAAAATACGCTTATCATTTGTCCCGAGCTTCTCTCCATGAAAGTATACTTCATAATTATTACGGTCCATTAGTGGGTGTCTGGTTGCACTCTTTTGTAATCTCCCTATCTATGGGTATCTATTCAGCGTTATCGAGGTGTGCAACTACTTTGTTATCATGTGCCACTATGTCGTCACGACATGAAGAAAGATTTGAGAACAAAATTATATTACTTGCCTGTCATTCACTGTTTACCTAGTGCGCTAGTGCCCTTAAGTGGCGTTTATGCTAAAGGAAAGGGGGTTTATTCTTTTAAAGACGATAGTCTTTCTTGGGGACCTTCAACGCAAAAATTTTGATCCGTCTGTCTGTACATTTGTCTGTTTTTCCACCCTTAACGGTACCGGGTACTCTAAACGGCACCAGCCGATACCCCAAACGGCCGACCCCATCTGCAGCGCCCACCAATGTTGCTCAAAATTCAGCGTTCATACTTGTGCGATTGTCGATTAAAAAGCAATTATTGCGCATATCTGAGGCACCATAACAACACGTATATGATCTGCATGTGCGTCTTTTACTACAAAAGGCGTACATAAGTAATTCTAAGGACCGTAGCGTTTATCACGCTGCGCTGACCATGCAACGCTTGCACGAAAAGACGAGTGTTTCCAACGCTTTGCTAAGACGACATGGTGGTGGCGCCTATCCGTCACGTTGATTTCTACACCTTATCACCTCCGAGAAGGACGCGCACGCCCGTCTCGACCACGCAAGGTTTTCCAAGAAAACTGCCAGATGGCACTCATGTCTCACGTGTGACGTGACTTGATGCGCTCGTTCGCCTCCGCTGCACGCTCGAGGCACTCTAATACAGCGCCTCCAGAAAAACATTCACCAATTTTCTGGCACAGAACATCAAATAAATGTTTTGTTCACTCTCTCCACATGCAAGACTATCGTCTTTCGACGACATTTGCAGATTAACATGCAGATACGAGGATAATTTTTTAATGGGTCAATCAGCTTGTTTATCCATAGAGACAGTGACGCTGAAATTGCTCAACGACTTCAAGGCAGAAGCTGTTTACTCTTACGAGTTAAGACATTTAGGGCATCGCAGGCATTTAGGGGAATATGGTAGGTGGCATAAGAACTATTTTCGAGGCACCATCATTCATCAGTATAGACCAACTAAGAAAAACTACCAAAACAAGTTAGGTCATATGTTATCATCGACATCGTGTGCATGATAGTTCCACAATACAACGAAAACAGACCCCAGAAGACACATTGTGTCGTTTGTGTCTGAAAACTGCGTGAAAGAGAAAGTTGCGTAGAGGTATCAGTGTGCCTTGATCAGAACACTTTGCGTCGGACGTGCTGCAGTTTCTTTAAGGGCGAAGTATCTTAAGGCCGAGGCTTGTCCGTCCACGTCCACGCTGTTCATCACGGGCAGATGCGTGGATGTGAGATGGAAAAATGTTGAACAATAGGCTAATATCGATCGTAGTTGTGACAACAATATTGAACACCTACAAGCACAAACCCTTTGTACTCGTCAGCAACTTCAACGTGCACATTAGTCACCTTATGAAGTAGCTTTGTCGTCGACTGTCACTTTTCGCTGTTGGTATATAGAAAATGTTGCTAAGTGGAAACATATGTGTGTATGCGAACAAAAAATAATTAACAATAGACAAGAACTATCATAACTGGGACAAGCAATTTAAAACACAAGCACAAACCCTTTATTAAAATTTTCAAGTGAACTTCGGCGACTTTGACCGTATCTATCTATCTATCTATCTATCTATCTATCTATCTATCTATCTATCTATCTATCTATCTATCTATCTATCTATCTCTATCTATCTACCTATCTATCTATCTTTCTATCCTTCTATCTATCTATCCTTCTATCTATCTATCTATCTATCTATCTATCTATCTATCTGTCTATCTGTCTATCTATCTATCTATCTATCTATCTAATTATCTATCTATC